GTTTATTCTGGAGCCAAATCTTAATGACCATGTACAAGGCACATAGATTTAAGCTACTGCAAATTCCATGTTCCATAGTGGAAACTGTTTTGTGAGGTTATTGTTTTACAGAACAAAGAAAGTCATAAATCAATGCAAGTTTAAAATGAATTGTGAGTACATCAGAGAGGCAGGTACAGGAAGAGGGGGAAGCTAATTCTATCGGCCTCAAAAGTCAGCTAATAACATTCTTAGTTTTGGGGTTGGGAGGAGCTTGTGGTCTGCTAAATTCATAGATATTTGTTCTGATACAGAGGACAATGAATTCAGGAGGCTAAAGTTACCTCAACACTTGTAACATTCCAACGTTTCCACATAGCTGCAGTTCTAATCCATTAGTCTCTACAAGCAAGTTTCTTTCCAGAAATTCTCAATAACAATTCCAATGATCAAACTCAGATCATCGGGCTTGAGGGTGGGTACCATTCTCATCAGCCTTTAAGTAATCTTACATAGCATTTAAAAAGTGCAATTCATTATTTTGCATATATGTATATATGCATAGATTTTCTCTGTGCTCTTTGTTGAAGAATGTTCCACTTCCTTGTTACACGTATTTAGGATCCCTATTAAAATGAAGGTCAGTTGTTATGTGTGAGTTTATTTGGAGGTATTTATACTATTGCATTTTTTGACATGTCTCTTTTATGCCACCATTATATGTTTTGAGTACTATAACTTTGTAATAGGTTTTGAGATAAGGAAATGTGTGCCCTTTAGCTTGGTCCTTTTTTTCTTAGATTCTTTTGGTTACTTAAGGTTATTTGAGATTACATTTTGAGGTAGTTTGAATGAGAATGGTACACGTAGATCCTATGTTTGAATATTTTGTCCCCAATTGGTGAAACTGTTTGAGAAGGATTGGGTAGCATGTTTTATTGGACAAATGTATCTCTGGGGGTGGGTTTTGATGTTTCAAAGATTCCTGTCATCCCCAGTGCTTTCTCTCTGCCTCCTACTCAAAAATTAAGATGTGATCTCTCAGATATTCTTGCTGCCATGTCTTTGCTCCACCATAATGAACTTTAAGCCTCTAAAACCATAAGCCTAATTAAATGTTTTCTTTTATAAGTTGCCTTGGTCATGTTATTTTTTACAGCAATAGAAATATAACCAAGACATATTAATTTTCTAATAATGTTTTCTATTTCTGAAAAATCATCAATGAGACTTTATAAAGAGTTCATTGAATTGGATGATTATGTTGGGGAAAATGAATGTAAATTTTAACAACATTAAGACAGCCAACCTATGACAAGATATATTTTCATGTTTGTGTATTCATATTCATCCTTATCAAATTTCTTCAGTAATGTATTATACTTGTTAGTGTGCTAATGTTCTTCTTGCATCTTTGGTTCATTTTATTTCTAAGGTTTTTTTGTTTGTTTGTTTGTAATGATCTTAATAAAAGAAGTTGTTTTCTGCATTTCCTATTTAGATTGTTCCTCATTAGCCTCAAGTAACAACCCTAATTTTAAAGGCTGATTTTAAATCCTCTAAGTTTGAGAATCTGCTTATTAGTAATAATGTTTTTATGAAGTCTTTAGAGTTTTCAATATACAAAACCATGTTATACTCAAAACTTAATTTTATTCCTTACTTTCAAATTTGAACAGCTTTTATTTTTGATTTCTCTTTGTTGTGTAATTATGTTGATTATCATCATTATTCCAGCACCATGTTGAATGTACACAGCAAAAATTTTATCAGTGCCTTGTACCTGAACTTAGAAGAAAACTTTCAATTTTTCAGCTATAGGCTTTTTACATGCAAGTTTTTATGTTTATGAGTTTCTCATGGTGAGGCATTGTTGAGTTTCATCAATTTTTTCTACTGCTCTTGAAATGTTCATATATTTTGTCTGTATTCTGATAGTCACTCTGCTACATTGATTGACGTCCATGGGATACAAACCATTGCAATGCTGGGAAAAGTGTGATTACATGCTATATCCCTTTTGATGTGCTAGTTACTGGCAACTAGTAAATTAAGATTGCTTGTCTTAGGCTGAGGATTCCTGCATCAGTACTCACCAGGAACATTGGTGTATGGATTACTTCTGTTAGTGTCTTTGCCTGGCCTTGCTATCAATGTTGGCTTTGTATGAAGTTTCAAATAATCTCTCCATTTCTGTTGTGGTTGTTTTATAAGAATGCCCCTCATTTGAATGTTTGGTTCCCACTGGGTGGAATTGTTTGGGAAGAATTGGGGGATACAGCCTTGTTAGAGGAATTGCGTCACTGGGAGTGGGTTTGAGGTTTCCAGGTAAGTTCTCTTTTCCTGCTCCCTGAAGATCAGGATGCAAAGCTCTCAGCCTCATGCCTGCTTGCCTACCACCATGCGTCCTGCCATGATAATCATGAACTAACCCTCTGAAGCTATAAGCAAGGCCCCAATTAAATATTTTCTTTCATAAGCATGACCTAGGTCATGCTGTCCCTTCACAACAATAGAACAGTTACTAAGACACCATAGTGTATAAGACTTTGGAAGAGGGGCTAGAGAGATAACTCAGCAATTAAGAACATTTACTCTCTTGCAGAGGATGTGAGTCCTAATCCCAACTGCTCAACCACATGTAACTCCAGCTCCAGAAGGATTCAACACTTTCTTCTTCTGAACTTCTTCACAGGCATGCGCTTAGGCCACCCTAATCTAGACCATCCCTTACTGAAAGTCCCTTCTCAGTTATTCTATTAAGCTGAAAATCAAAATTAGCCATCAGAATTTGTTACCCCAAAACAGGCTTGCACACTGCGCGATGGATACATCTTGCTTGATCAACCTGTACTGTGGTACACATGGTCTACAGTTAAGACTATGCTTTCCCAGACACCTGTATAGGATGGCTTAGTAGTTAAAGATGCTTGCCACCAAGCAAATTCCAGTTCCATCTGGAGGACCCACTGGTGGAAGGAAGTAACCAAAAATTACAAGTTTTTTTCTTTAACCTCCCACATATGCTGTGGCACATTTACACACACACACACACACACACACACACACACAAATAAAATGTAGTTAAAACATTGTAGAATAATTGCTGATTTTTTTTACTAGAAAAACAAATTCATTAGAAAATAGAGTGAATTGAAGTATAGATTATAGATATTTGATAAAAGTTTTATATTTGTGACTTCTTTAGCAACATGTGCCTGAACTTTTTATCTGAGTGGACATTCATATATTCTTTCCAGTAAACATTATAGCAACTCAAGAAATCCCTCTGGTTAGGCAATTTTACATTGCAACAAAGAGTGAAGGACAACTCATTTTGTCCCATATTCTTTCTAGTACTTAGTGTTGTCATTGTTTTGGATTTTGCCATTCTTGTCTGTATGAAGTGGTCTTTCACTTCAATTTACACTTAACTAATGACATAATATTGAACATTTTTGTTTATGTGATCTCTGAATATCTTTTCTGTTAAAGTGTCCCCAATGTTAGTCCATTTTTGTGACTTCCTGGTTAGAAGTGGCTTTAAGTATTTGAGAAACGTTTGTTTACATTATTAGTTCAATTCCTTATGGGATTACTTGGAGGGTTTTTTTTGTTAAGTGATTGTTCAGTTATGAGTGTGTATGTGTGTGTGTGTGTGTGTGTGTGTGTATGCATACGTGTAGGTAATGGGGATGCATGTGTCACAGACCATGTATAGAAGTCAGAGGACATCTTTCTGGAATCAGTTCTCTCCTTCTCTCCTTCTACCTTTACTTCAGTTTGGAGATCAAATTCAGATCAGTAGGTTTATGCTACAAGCACCTTTACCTGTTGAGCCATCTTATTCATATATGCTTTTCAATATTTATCACCCATAAGAGGACTAGCTACCAAGCAGCTTCTTTTACCTTATTTATTGTCTCATTGTTTTGTTGACTTTTTCTATTGCTATACAGAAGCATTTTAGTTTTAAGTAATCCCATTTTTTCCAATTTTGTGCGATCTTTTTTTAATCAATGCAACTTTTATTTCTTACAGAAGTACAAGGTCAAGCTGCCAGCAGATTCACTGTTTGGTGGCAGCTCACTTCCTAGTTCCTAGATAAATACTTTTCTTGTTTTTCCAATCTTTTAAAAGTAGAATATAATTACATTATCCCTCCTTCCTCCAACTCCTTCCATGCCACCCCTCTCTCCCTCTCACATCCATGGCCTCTTTGCCTTTATTATTGTGCGTGAGATTTCTCTCTTCTACATTACCATGTCTATTGGTATGACATTGTTCAGGTCTTATTTACACAGCCATATTGTTGAGGGCAACTTTTGATTTTTAAAAACTGAGATTTTGGAGTGCTTCTCAGAAGTGTCTTGACTATGCCACACCTTGAAGTATTTCCTATATGCTTCCTGTAGTGCTTTCAGAGTTGTGGGTGTTACCTTAAGGCCTTTGAGCCATTTTCAATTGGTTTTTATACAGTGAAAGATGAGATCAAATTTTAGTCTTCTATATGTGCCTATCATGTTGTACCAGCATCATTTAAGTCTATTCTTGCTCCAGTATATGATTTGCCACCTACTGGCTGCAAATGTGTGTGTTTGTTACTACTTTAATCCCAGTTCACTACTGTGGAACAGACCTCAATCAATGGAGTTTTCATTTTCTTAGTGTTGATTTTAAGAATTTCTTTGTACATTTTACAGCAGTCTTTTATCAGAAGTATCTTTTTCCAGTATTTACTTTATGTCTGTAGTTTTTTTTCATTGCCTTGCCAGTGTACTCTAGAAGATATTTGTTTTTAAAGCAAAACCAGAACATATCTATAAGATAAAATATAATACTATAAGAGCATGTGAACACTAAGTAGGGTGGTGGTGGTGTATGCATTTAATCCTAGCACTCAGGTGACAGAGGCAGGTGAACTTTTGTGAGTTCTAAGCCAGCCTGGTCTACTGAGTGAGTTCCAGTACAGCCAGAGCTACAGAGAGAAAACTTGTATTGAAAAACAAAAAAGACAAACAAATGCCCTCAAGTTGTTGCTGGTGTGACTGCTGTAGCACATGTGTGTCAGTAGGTGGCAGAGAAGAGAGAGGCTTTGTCTATGCTCAGTGTTCTGCCATGTGAACATCTGAGTGATTAGTAGCTTAACATTCTCTGAAAAAAAAGCGGAGCCTGAAGCAACCACTGGTCTAGTGCCAGGGGGCCCAGAAAGGGAGCTAGCCTGAGATGACTACCAGTTCAGTGACACACAGTCCTGTGGGGACAAACCATGCCAAAGATGAGCCTTACCCAGTGTCACAGTTCAAGAGTAGGTCTTTGTACTCCTGAGACCACTCCAGGGGTGACTCCAAACACTCAGGGACCTCATGATACACTAAGAGGAGCAAATAGGTGGTGGAGAAATTGAAGAAAATGAGAAAGTGAAGGATGTGGGCACAAAGAAGAGAGGCAGAACAGGAGATTGGAGGGTAGTAAAGAACAACCTCATGTGAATAGCTAGCAATGTCACTTGGGACCATGGTGGGGTCCTGGCTTGTGCTATCACTGGGGGCCAAGTTTGAGTTCATGATCTGTTACAATCAAAGTTCAGGAGGATATCCCTGGTCTGAGCGGCTGCCCAGGGACATGTTGATATCTGAAGACTGTGCAGAACTTGCCCCACCCCTCACCTGAGCATTATGGGAGGGTTGGCCCTGAGGGCATGAGAGCAGAAGAGGTGACCTGCCTCTAGCCAGCTCCAGTACTCAGGAGAGTGGCCCAACATATTGCAGGAGTTGTAGGTGAGCCTGCCTTGAGAATATAAACATGGGTGAGCTGGCCCTGCCACTTGTCTCCTGTGCAGTGGCATGGATGCGGGAGAAATACCCTCTTTTCTCCCCTTTCTCCCTTGTCTCTCCCCCCTCATCCTTTACCTCTCACCCCTTTCCCTCACTACTTGTGTCAAGTGGGAAACTTGGCCCTGGGTCATGAAAGCAGGAGAGCTGGCTCCGCCCCCCTCTTACTGTAGCACTCAGAAAAGCAGCAACATATTATAGCTCTCCCTGATGTGGCTGTTTCAGGTGAGCCAAACATGAGCATGAAAGAGCCAGCTCTGCCTCTTGTCTGTTGTCTGGTGGCATTGGTGAAGGGAGGTCTCCTCCCCCTCCTTTCTGCCCTTGCCAATGAAATCCTGAGAACAGAAGAGTTGTCCCTACCCCTCACCTGATGCAACACTGAGGAGAGCAGGCCTCACTAGTGTGTGGGTGATCCAGAATCAAGGGTGTGAGCATGGGAGAGCTGGCCCCACAACTTGTCTGCGTGCAGCAATATAGGAGAGAGAGACAGAGAGAGAGAGAGAGGGAGGGAGGGAGGGAGGGAGGGAGGGAGGGAGGGAGTGAGAGAGAGAGAGAGAGAGAGAGAGAGAGAGAGAGAGAGAGAGAGAGCCTCTCCTACCCTTGAACCGCACCACCTGCAGCAGACAGAAGAGTTGTCCCTGGGGTCACAAGAGCAGGAGAGCTGGCATTAGCAGCAGCACTCGGGAGAGTGGGCCTTGAACCTCCTTGCCTGGGCAGCACAGAACTAGCCCTGGTCATGGGATTGGTAAGGGCATGAGTGCAGGAGCGTTGGCCCTACCTTTTGTCTGCTCTTCAGAGTAGCAGAAGCCTGAGGCTTCATACCAGACCAATGAGTCATTGCAATGAGCATTTGCAAGCAAAGAAGTGTGGAGGGAAGTGTATACTGTGGGACACACTGTAATACACTACAGTTTCCACAACAGAGATTTTTTTCTCTGCTGCATGGGGGGGCACATATGAGGTGAGGGGGAGATGATTGGGATTGGGATATGCTACGTGAAATTCACAAAGAACCAATAAGAAGCTAAAAAAAGCAAAATAAATAAATGAAGCATACAGGTATGGTGGACTTTTTTTTTATTTATTTGGTTAATGCACAGATAAGGTTATAGCTATACATAACTCTTATGTAGATGAATAATGTATTGTTCAGAGCTTTCCAGAGAAAGAAATTTATAAAATGATTAATATACCCCTGAGAGAGAACAGTGAAAGTGTATTGCTGGATGTGTCAGCTGAAAGCAAACTGCTTCTGGTGGGGCTTACTTACAGTGATAGAGGACAACATTTGCAAAATCATTAGCCTCATACCAAACACCCGAGGATGTGCTTAATTTTTCTCAAACAATGAAACCACATCTTTAGAGCACCACAATTAGAGTCATCCCGTGGTTAATTTACAGTAAGTGACTCATATTGTCCAAGATCCATCTGTCTTTGGCACATACACTGAAATCCAAGTTCTATTAGAATGTGGCAGGAATCAGCACCCTTGCACGTTTCATATTCTCCATGGTGGCACTAATCTCTGCAATCATGATAGAAATGCGGTGGTTCCCATACATAGTCTTTACATCATAACAGCCTTTATTCCATGGACCAGAGAGCCAGTATGAAAACTCTGCCAGCAGCTGAGTATATCTTCTCTAATGATGCATTCTGAATCCATAACCACAGCATGAGTTCAGGGACTCATGAATCCACTGTGAGAACTTGACCTCCATAAACTTTAATTTGGATGGTAGATTACACTGAGACTTAAGGGCTTATGAAATTAGTTTCAGTTCAGAGCCAGCATTCAATAGTTTCCAAAAGATCTGGTTATTTCCCTTTCCTCGATGCAGTTACCGTGGTAAAAGGCCATAGGTTGCTTTAGAGAAGGCTGGAGAAAGAGTAATAGTACATAGTTTTGTCAATCTAATGAGATCCTCCCTGTAAAGGACCCATCACTTCTTTTATTCAAATATTAGATCTAAAACGGTTTCATTTTAGGTTGCTTGGGGGTTGTAGCTGTTTTTTAATGCTTATAGTAAAGTGAGAATTTGGTAAGACCATAGTGATCATTGCCACAGATTACCAGAGTCCAGTTACCTTTATCATTGCTTTAACTACACTCTCTACCATTGGTAATCATGCATGCTCACCTCAATTTTGGCTCTTACAAGCTGCCATTTGGTCAAAGCCTTCTAGGATGTAACTATTTCCATTGAATTTGGATTTCCTGGGTCCATGGCTTCTGTCTCTATTCAAAGGTCTAAACTGTCGAGAAGAGTGATTACAGGCTTCTAGAAACACAGCATTTCATGGCCTTTTTCCCATTATGAGACTCTTAACATTCTTTCTGGGCCCTCTTTCACAATGTTCCTTGAGTCTCAGAACAGGTGATAGATTTGTCCTACTGAGGGATGAACATTCAACAGTTGATTATTGTTAGGCCATTGAATATCAGTGAGTCTTTACATCGAACACCACTCACTGCAATAAGAAGTTCCTCAGCGAGAGGCTGAAAAGAGCATCAATAGGTAGACATAGATATGAGTATTTACAGCACAGTTTGAATAGATGTCCATTTAGAAAAATAATAGTAGTAGGTTCCCCCCTCAAGTTTATGACACCCATAGCCGCCAACTCTTGTCTAGTTTTACATAACCAGCCATGAGTTCCCTCCTGTAAACCAGACCTCTAATTAGAAACTGATTGGTTATCCCCATAATAGTCACATAACTGAAGGCACATCTTGCCTGACCAATCATTATGGTAGCTTGAAGGATTTCCAGCTGGGTCAGACTGCTGATGCCTTGTCTCTCCCATCAGCATGCATAGCACCATTTGGCACTATGAAAACTAACCAATAAGGAGGAAGCATTCAGGTCAGTTCAAGCTTGACTTCTCCATGTCCTGTAATCAAAGTATGGAGAGTCCTTAGCAATAGAGTGTTACAATCAAGCTACAATGGACAAGCAAGAGCAATATCGATGGCCAGTACTGTCTGAGGAAGCCTCTGGGATCTTCTTTATTAACATTTCCTAGGGAGATTGCCTGTACTTCATACTGGGATTTTCAAATAATAACCTTTGGCTTCTGGGATTCACATTTTCCATCTATGCAGGGCACCTCGGTTCACACTCTTTTTTTTTTTTTAGTAGTTTTAGTTACTTTATAAAGTAGTGAGTTTCTACATGGCTTCATGTCTTTAGTTTTGGTTACACCCTACCCTTTACTTCCTCCTCTCCCCAATCCCTGACCAGATTTCCATCTGACTCACTGTGGGCCATCTTTCAGCCAAACAACAAGACAAACTACCACATTTTGCTCCAATATAGATAGTACAGGATCCGAAAACCAAAATTAAAGTTATTCAACTAAAAATGAACTCCCCAAGCTGCACAAATAATCAAGTTTTCAATTAGTGAGCCATGTCAGTAAATTTTGCCTAATTCAGTTTTATATTCCTTCTACTATTATCCTACACCCTTAATCTCAATTTCCATATATTTCTAAATTTCTGCTTGTACAGACTGCAAAACTCAAGTTATGTAATTGTTTTAAGGGGTGGTGCACCTTCTCAGGAGTTGTACTTTACACGTAACCTTACAGGGACTGGTGAGACATATGTCTAGTTATACATAGGTCTAGAAACAAACTGGGTAAGGGAATGTGTGTCCTGAAAAGCCTAAGTATTGTTTTACATGGCATCTGGCTGGCAAAGGGTTTTTGCAGTGTCCCCAAACCATGCAAAGTGTATTTTCTGAGATGAACAGAAGGAGTGGATACCACTAGAGATGAGAAATTTTCTGTGTCTTGAGAGTAAGGAGGCCACTTTCTCTAACGATAAAGAGGCCTTTCACTAGCAAAAATGATCATTAAAAATTCAGTGCTTGATACCCACAATTTCATTATGGTCTTCCTAAATATCTCCATTCCAACCAGTAAGATTCTATCATTTCCCAAGCAGTGCCCTTCCTCTAGTAGCAGTTACATTGCATGGAGAGTAGTTCATCTTGAATTGTTATCTGTAATGGCATGCCAGGAGATAATGCATAAGAATTTTTGGCAGTCTCAGCCCTCAAGCTATAAGAAACTGAACTCTTAAAGGGCACTCTTAGAGGTATTTAGCCTTGAAAATTAGATCATCAAATGAATCCCTTTTACCACTTTTTGTCTACACACAGTATAAGCCACAAGCCCTACTTGTTATATTCAGTAGTTTACCAGCAGTGTTCAAAACATACATAGTCAGGCCGGACGGTGGTGGCGCACGCCTTTAATCCCAGCACTTGGGAGGCAGAGGCAGGAGGATTTCTGAGTTCAAGGCCAG